GGAGCCTCCCTTACCCACTTGCATGAACTCAATGTGGTAGTCCCAACTTCTCAGATTTAAGGTCCTTCTCCCAGCTAAATTTGTCTGTTTTCCAATCACCCAAAACAACAAAAGCTCATGTTTCCACAATTACAACCCAAGCATAATTCCAAATCTTAATAAAACATACCATAGTAATACTATTACAAACCTTTTTCAGTAAGCTCTTGTGCTTCTGTTAGAAAACAGTTTAAGACTGTGCTAAGGTTGCTCAGAAGTAATTGGCAGTGCTGAAGAGACTGTATTGTCTGTGGGTCAATGAAGTTGCAAGAGCCATCAAAGAGTGGAACACCTTTTCAAGAATAAACATTAAATCATTAATGCACAGGGCAATTTCAGTTTCAAAGTACACTTAAAGAACTGTGTGGAATAACATATACCAGCAGATTACTGAATAAGCTCAACTAGAAAGGATGATTTTATGTTTGTAGAATGACTACACTAGTACTCACATATTTGGTCCAATTCATCTTTCGTATATATCACTTTGTTCCATGTCCACTCAAGCACAAACCGTAAATTAGCAGCAGAACTTGGCTGCTCTTTAAGAAGAAAAGAAAACAAAATGTGAATGAATCAACAATTTCAAACTAAAAAACACATAAGATAAAAACAACATGGAAAGTATTACCTTCAGATGTCCAATGTTTAATGCATCCAGTCAGAAGTTCCAAAGAACTTGTCTGGACAGCAGCTGACAATACGGCTTCTAACTGCTCCTCCTAAACATAACAGGCAAAATAAAATGAGAATCTCACATACTTCCAATATCTGAATCATCAACAGTAAGTGTTTGCTTCTAACTGTATACTCATTCAGATCACACAAAGTCAATTAGTTAATTCCACATTGTTTTCCTTAATTCTAGCCACAGGACGGACTGCTAGTTGGTCTGAGAAATACATCAAACTTTTCCTGTGACATTTCAACTCACTAAAGGCTAATTCTAATCTTTATTTGCACACTTCTTCATTCCAGTCTTAATTTACTCCTTTCCAATTAACTGTTTTCAGTTAACATCCTCTGCTAATACCCATTACACACTTTGCGCATGTAAGTTTGCCATCAGGAATGCATGAAGGGGACAGCACAAATACAACTATACAATGTTTGCATGGAAACAGTGAAGTTAAGGTCAAGCAGCTTTCTAGACCATGAAGGCATGAAGCAGTTCTGACACTCAAGACATTGTTAGAATTTTCTAAGTGAAACATTGAAATTCTAATAGGTTTAAATTTTAAGCTGTTCAAATACTGTATTATGAGGTAGGGCTAATCCTGTCGAAGGATAATGCACAGGTATGCACAGACATGTGATCCTAAGTAGTAGCTTATTTCAGCTGGTGTTCTGACACCTCTTTCAGTTGAAACAATCCTTCATAAAATTTTACCTTCTTGTTTGTTGTTGTTTGATTGCTTTGGTTTTGTTTTTTTTTATTTTTTAAAACAGACACTCAAAAGTATACTTCCCTTCCAGGTAAAAATCATTACATTCAAAGTGATTTCTACACATCAGAATACACATGTGATATTTCCATCTTTTTTCTGAAAACGAGTTTCAGACAAAGAAACACATCAAATATTACAGTGCCAAACAAGACTCCAAACCAAAGCCTCTTGACTGCAATTCTGAAATTTGCCATACTAACATTCAAAAGACATCCCTGCTCAAATGCATAACAAGTCCCTGAACAATACAGTCGCAATATCCCAAGTTATTTCCAAATGGGAATTGACACCAGAACATCTACTTTGAATGCAAAAGTCTACATCAGGCTTGAAAAATAAACCCTCTGTGGTCTAGGTCAACCTGCCAATAAGTTTATTTTAGCTACCACACCATGCAGAAGTACTATTTACCCTAGCACACTTCCAGAAGTCTGGCGAAGAATTCAGTAGACAGGAAGATGAAAGCAGTGGGAAGACTGCCCTCCCCTTCCTATTAATTGCTCCACTGTACAATGACTAGCTGATCTTTTAGCTCAGCTTCTGCTTGGGTGAAGCACGGCTATTCATCACAAAGGCTCCATGAAACTCTTCAGATGAGAAAGGTTGGTGCACTGCAAATGGAAAACCTATGACGGGGGGGGTGAAGTCACTATGGTGGGATAAAGCAGATAGAAGGTAGTGGGTGTCATGAGATAAAGGTGATAAAGGAGTGGCAGCAACAAGAGGGCAGTCTAAGAGGAGTAAATTGTCATTTACATGTAATTTGCACAAAGCAAAGGCTACAGAGGTGAAGATCTGCTTTGAGAGGCTGCAGAAAAGCCTACTGATGAAGGGAAAATGAAGGAAAGCTGTGATGAAATTGTCAGGTAGAGCTGACAACTGTAATTGTTTAGCACAGCCCATTTCCTTGGAAGCACATGATCAAGTACAGTGCAGCAAGCTGATGTTTGCATTAGCTCACATCTCAGTGGGACACCTCCACTGTTTACAAGTTTGCAACTTGCAAATAATATGAAAACCAGATTATCACGTCTTGTAGCCCCTACAGCCCTGTCAGAAAAGATGAATGTATTTGCCCCTTGATTCCCTGACATGCACTCACCTGACTCAAACTGGATGGCTGGACATCAACTAGTCTTGGAGAGAGCAAGCCAGCTACAAGACACCTATTGTAGCTATCACGAATGGCTTCACTTATTGAAGGACCAGATTTCTTCAAGAAATTTAAGGTCTGAAACATCAAAAAACCCACAGATTAAGATTAGCAATCACTAAGGTTCTGGCTAACCACTAAAAAATAACATACATGTTCACTTCAACTGTCAGAAAGCTTATCTGCTTTATGTTATCAATCTGAGTCAACATTACTATGTCTTAAAGACAGCTGCCAAACTAAAAATTTAGTGTGTCTACAAAAATCCTATTAAAAATCCTATAAAACAAAATATCAGCCCTTACTATGCTTAATGAAGTATTTTCTAGCTTCTTTTTCCCTGAACACTGACAAAAAGAGCATTCTATATAAGCTAAAACTAATACACAACTTAAAATCACACTTTGAAAGATCCTTTCTATCCTCGTTTGTGCAGAAGTTGATTCACATTGGAAATATTTAGTGAGCTGAAATTTAATTCAAAATTATTTGTCACAGTCTGCGCGGTGGCTCAGAAGTTATAATTTGGCCAAGTTTGGGAGGAAAAAACAAATTCATTTCTTCTCAAACAGTTACATAATTTTTCACTTTCTACATTCTGTCCTCCTTTTTCAAGTTCATCAGAGATCAAAACCCTAACTCAGGACTATGCAGGCAGTTCATCTGATAGGTAATCAAGAAGTAACAACTTTCACAGCATTTTTGTTTGTACTCTTAGGAACAATGTTGTATTCTTTTCCAGACATTCTATCCCTGATCATGCTGCAAAAGAAGACAATGGTAGTTTAACTGTCTCAAGAGTGGGCCTAAACCACTACCATTTGCATAAAACTGGCAGGATACAATTGCAATTATGCATGTGGATGGGCAGGATAAGCATAAAATGGTCTCAGTCACTTAAGGCAGTGCAATAAAACATTTAGAAAAGGTATGTCTCTTGACATTCTCAATAAAAATACAGTAAAAGATCACCTCCTTCTGGAAGCCGGTGCAAGTCATATGAATAACTCCAGAGTTCAGCAAGCACGTACCATCTGCAGAAACAATGGACATTTGACAGCCTTCCATACTCTCACAGTTGTGTTATGACTGGGTTATATTTTTTAAATAGCACTACCTGCAAAGATATAACTGACTACCATTTTTGTCATCAGCTCACTTACAAACTTTAAAAAAAAATAAATTACTGCTTGTGTAAATTTTATCTCTAGTGCCATCGAGGTGCTGTGCTTTGAGCTTCAGTTCAAACTAATTTCATTTGATAACCATGACCACTTCACAGGCTATGTTAAAAAAGCACCAAAACCCAAAACTCAGCAGACTGTCAGATATGTTTCACAATATTAAGTATTTTGTTAGTACAATGTAATCAGAGCTGGGGGTTGTGGTTTTTTTTTTGGTTCAGTGTTTGAACAACAAATAATGAACAGGAGAACCAATCAATAACATTTGACCTCAATTTAAGCTTATCACTATTAAAAGCGGTGAAATACCTACCAAAATTATAGGTGCTTGGATTAAAAAACTGCTCAGGTGGTGGATAAGAAGGAGGAACTCCCCGACTTAGACTCCGCTCATGTACCAGAATATCCAAAATGAGGTTTGAAGAAGTCATGCTTACTACAGTATCCAGTGACCACAATGCAAAATAGGGGCAATCATGAAGGAATTCTTCTGGCCTTAAAGAAAACAAATGCATAAGCTAAACGCCGACTTTCAAATGAATTATTTGTAGGGATACTGAAAACAGCTTAATAGAAATCTACCTTAGTGAATCTGGCATTTGAGCATGGTACCAGCGATTAATGTCAAATACACCCAAGTAAGTCGATGGCTTTCCCTGACCATAGGTATTCACTTGCCAACTGAAGATTGATACGCTGGTGTCAGGAGATATTACTGTAAAAGACAAGATACTTTCTTGTTTGTAGGAAATAAGATATCTCTGATATTTTTAAATTGCCCCTTTCTATTTTGGCTTAATTCTGTTATATTGCTCATGAAACACACCACTTACTAAGAATAATTAAAAAAACACTTATGGCATAACAATCATCCAGATCCCTCCATAGAGCCTTTCTACCCTCGAGCAGATCAATGCTCCCACCCAACTTGGTGTCATCTGCAAACTACCTCGACCCCCTCGTCTAGACCACTGATAAAGATGCTAAACAGAACTGGCCCTAACACCAAGCCCCGGGGAACACCGCTTGTGACCAGCCTCCAACTAGATGCAGACATAGGTTTGAATAGGGGAAAAAAAAAATCAGGTAACATTCCTAAACAATGGAGAGAATGATCTTACTGTTCAAATAACACAGTTGGAGGAATAAAACAACTGACAAAAATCATACACATGATCCCACCATACATCCCTATAGCATGTCAGCAAGCACAAAATAAAATCTATTTTTTCCCTTAAAGAAGTCCCACATTATTTGAGCACCCAATTTTTCAATTAAATAAGCCCAAGAGGCTAATCTACACAGATATTTACAATTTTTAGACTGTGGGTACAGAACAGCATTCACTGTTCCAAACCCATTTATTTTAGAATAACCAAACACAGACATCAGTACAAACCTTCATTAACGCTATCCTCTCTGTCAACATGGTAGCGAAATTTTTCTACAGTCTGACAGCTGAGTAATTTGGTATTGGTGGTCTGTCCTCTCAAAGGAAAGACTCCACCCGTAAGATCTAAACTGTACCTTTCGTCACAGTATTCCAAACCCTTGGAAAAATAAAAGAAGAGAAAAAAAGAGTCATTTTGAGATAAAAAAATACATTATAGCTAAATATGAGAGAAGCTAATATATTAGATAATATCTAATATAATATATTATACTGTATATTTCCCATCAGTTTATTTCTGATGGCAAGTCTGACATACAAAAGAACTCAGTTTCAAACCGTAACAGGTAAGTTCAGCTGTAAAGGCTTTGCACGTTTTCCAAATCTAGCATTTCCCTAACACTATTCAGATCTAAACATGTTTTGCAGAATTTCTTGCAACATAAAGGTTTCTTTACAAACCTAACAAAAAATATATATATATATTTACAGAGAGATCTCTGAAACAGCACAATACATATGCACACAAAGCTCTTTGCTCCATGTCTTGATTACAGAACTGATCAACTTAAGAGAAGTCATGGCATTACAGCAGCTAAAGCTCTGTCGAGAGGTATTATCTATAGGCACACCACTAGCGCGAACACACAGACCTCTCTAGTAACTATGACAACTTCTCATAGATTAACCATCTTCTTTCAAACCATGCAAGCTCTTACCAGCTTCTCTAATCTTGTCAGAGACTAATGGGTGAAATATCCCTCAGTTCAGTCACCAACAACAAAGGCGGAAAACAGAGGATGTGGGATACACATGGACAATGTGTTTAGGATCACAAATTACTACAGAGTCAGCAAACTACTTTGAGATATACAGAAACCCCGGCATGATTGTGCTGAACCTCTGATACCACCATTTCTAAGTCAGCATTAACTGAAATACTGCCTTTCCAAATACAGCATTAGTTCAAACTGCCTACAGTGCAACACATGAATGTGTGTATTGTGGACAAATAGCAGGTCTACAATTAAAAAAGAAAAAAATCACTGAACAAAAAAACCCACACACCATTTAACAAAAACCAACCCAAAATCTGATCATTCTACCCGAGTTTCCTAAACTCTCAAAGCTCTAAAATGAACTGGCATGAAACAGCACATTCTCACATGATCACATATGATACATCTAATTCACCTCATCTGAGAGGAGACAAGTTTTCTCTTAATGATTCTTGGAAATGCTACAAACAAATATCAAGGCTGGTTTAAAAAAAAAATAAAATTGACAAAAATTTAGTCTTTCTGCTAAAATTTGCTCTGAAGCATGCATAGTTTATTCTATTTTATCAAGTAACTTTGGAAACAAACACGTGCAGAGTAGATAATAAAAATAGCAACCATCTCTTCAAAAAACTAACATGAAGCCTAAGACAAGAATCTCATTTTTATTCTAGAAGGAATCATCACTTATTAAAATGGTTTTTAAAGATGTTGTTCTGAACACTACATCAACCATTGCAAGACAGTTTCATCAAATAAAGTACTAGAACTCCACAAACCTGTCAGAGATTAAATTGAACTGACAGAAATTTCAACTTTTATTCATGTATGACGAGCCAGTCCCTGACAAAATTGGTGCAGAGGCAAAGGGGAAAATTATATCAAACAATTCCTGCCTAAGACAACTTCTGAAGCAAAACAGTATATTTCAAATATTCCACACTGACACAAGCAAATCTAAGTTACAGAACTCCACGATATGAAAGATGTTAGGTAATGACTTCCATTGACCAGTGAAATATGAAGACACTTTTCAAACGAGAGGCTCTGGTATCAAAGTAGAGACTGTACACACTCTCCATCTGCAAGCATTGTGTAGGATAAAGGTCAAAATGCGCTCCATGACGATGACTTGATGCACTAGATTTGGCAGCTGCTGAGATGGTACAAAAAGATCTTTGAAAGTATAAATTAAAGATACCTTTATGTCTAATTACTTGAGCACAGACTTAAACCAGCCTTGAAGGCAATGGACACACAAGTTTGACACTCATTTACACAAAGACAGTGTCACATGTTCCAAAAGTCCTATTTGTGACTTTTAACCATGATACAAAGTCAAAGATGTGCTGTTTCATAGCCTCAAGTCTGATTCCTGGAAAGTAAAGCACTGCTGCAGCAGACAGCTCTTCCAAGCTCCTGTGAACTCTGTTCAATGAACAAGGGTCAGCAGCAGATTCTCCCTTGTTTACTCAAAGATGGCCTGGCAAATGGGAACAACTTTTAAATCGTCTGCCACTGACAATGGACAAGAAACTTGACTTGTCCAGTCAAGCAGGTAGACAGTCTAGACTAGAAGTGTCTGCTGTAGGGCACAGATCCTGTCCTAATGCATCTTTTGGGCTTTTGGTTTTTCGGGGGGGTTTGGGAATTGGTTTGGGTTTGTTTGGGGTTTTTTCGGTAGTAGGAGTTATCAGGTCTTGGTATGAAGCTACATGTGTAAGTGGCTCATCTGGAAGCTAGGTATTGGTTTTGCCACTACAAAGACTGTAGCTACAAATAACTTTAAGACAAGGATAAAACAAAGCAGAAGTTCAAAAATGAAATTGGACAAAGAATCTTCCTCCTATCAACCTGCAAAAGTGCTTAAAGCACTACAAGAGATGCAGCAGTGAGCTGCAATGAAAGCCCTTTTAAAATTAAAAAGCCCAATCAGGGTGCTCTATTCCTCAAGAGCACTGTATACTGAAGTCACAAAAAAACTGCACATCAACAAAGAGATGACATCCATATTTAGAACACAATGAATCACTTAAGATATTTATACCTTGTCACCATGATAGAGAATGCATTTTAAAGAAACACCACCTTTTCTGAACACTTAACTTTTATCAGTTCAAAAGTAACATCTACAAATGAGTAAAGAGCTTTCCTACATATAGAGGAAAAAGGTCAAAATTTAAACTCATTTCAGAAAATCAAAGAGCACAGACCCTAAAAAAATGGAGTACCACAGTATCACCACCATCTTGATACCACTTCCATCACCCTATTTCATGCCATACCTGTTGAGATTATGCAAAAGAAAGTATCAAAATCGGAGGAAAGAATTGCTCTGAATTCATACTACTTTCCTCATAGGAAGATTTTGGAAGAGCTTATTATACATTACACACATAATATAGAGGAGTCTTTTATCTGATAGATAGCTGAGATAAAATGATACCTCATCTATATTTTAAACACAAAATTTCTGGAGCCAGTTTTAAAAATTTACCTATACTCTTTTGACCAAATCATACCTCTGTTTTCTGTATTTATGCATTTTGCTGGCTTTAAGAGTAAGTTTAAGAGGTAATTAAAAAAAAAAAGTAGAGTTATCTTTACAGCTACTAAGTTTCAAGATCAACACTTAAGAGACATTGTAGGTACATTTCATTTGGGCTACAGCTGACATAGCTCAAAAGAAAAAAAAGAATATAAAGTCGAAAGTCAGAAAAGACTAAAGATACAGATGACCACTTTTCAAGAAAGACAGAAGCTTATTCAAGTCAAGTTTGGTTAAACAAAGCTATTCAAAGCCCTATCTTCTCTTCCTACATGCCATTAATTTGGTGTTTAAATTAAGACTAATTTTATTTCTAAGAGCTGCTTCCTCTTCAGGAACTGAATTTATACGGGCTCTTTGCAGATGAATTTAGTTGGAACACACAACACTACAGCATAAAATGGTAAGGCTTGTTTTCAAAAAGTATGGACAGAGGCCATACCTAAGAAGACTCAGCAGATTATTCTGGTTTTAGTCAGGTCTGAATTTTGATGGTAAATATTAGCCCTGCCAACTTAAATGATCCTCACTTAGAGAGAATTACTCTTTTCACCTTTCCACATACATGCACATCTTACCTCATACATGACTTGTCCTGATGCCAAACGTTTTCTGTCACTAAACGCTAACTGCAACAGATGTAAACTCACAACATCCCCTTCACTGAAAAAGGTAGAAATTACAAAACTAGATTAGAAAGCTGCTTCACAGTTCTCATTATCACTTTATTAGATCTAGACTGACGTTTTCTTAATAACATGCTCTTGCAGAAAAGAAAACCATCACATCCCAAAACATGGTAATTGGTCACACTTAACTGTCAAAACAGAAAGGAGAAAGTTTTGACACTAACAGCTCCAGGGTCAAACATTAACCATACAATTTGAAAGTTTTTGTATGCTGTATGGACTAAATACAGCAAATTCGAAATAGTTCTTCAGGGTGAAGAGTTCTCAATCACATTTAGTATTCTAGATCTGCAGGCTCAACTACTTTTAACAGTAGTTTAATACCATAGTGCAAATATCAAACACAGCAGTTATCAAGAAACAAAGGAAATCATTTAAGAATGCAAGCACAAAAAATACAGTCCCTGTTGCTTTCCTTTCTTTCAGAAGGTAGAAACTAATAGATCTCCTTTGTAACTGCACTGTAAGCTTAACACCTTCCATACCTGAAAATCTCCTGCACAGCTAAATAAACAAAACAAATATACATGTATTAACTGTATGTGAACAAATCTAGGAAAAAAATTAATTCAGTGGCTCATCTTAAGTTTTAATCCACCTTTCTTGTGTAGACTGAACAGCCCACAAGTAGCAGCAATTGCGAGGATCATTCTCTGGCTCTTGAAAAGTAACAGCATAGACAGGAATCCTTCCTCCTTCAAGCTGAGAGTGGTGCCTACGGGTTTAAAAGAAAAAAAAAAAAGTGAATCTACTGGCCCAAACTGCTTGTAGAAGGGTAGAAGCATCTTCTGAGATAAGAGCGCCTTACATGCTTATACTCAAAGTACAGAAGGTTGTACTTCCATCTCAAACAAGTGAGTCTAGGAAGCAACTAGTTTTTACGCAACAGTCAAGAGGTGAGGAAATCACTGTCCATCATATGCAACAGCCTGGGTTTATCACAGAATCACAGGAGTTGGAAGGGACGTCAAAAGATCATCCAGTCCAATCCCCCTGCCAGAACAGGATCACTTAGACTAGGTTGCACAGGAATGCATCCAGGCGGGTTTTGAATGTCTCCAAAGAAGGAGGCTCCACCACCTCTCTGGGCAGCCTGGTCCAGTGCTCCACAACCCTTACAGTAAAAAAGTTTTTCCTCATCTTCAGGTTGAACCTCCTATGCTCCAGCTTGCACTCATTGCCCCTTGTCCTGTCACTGGCTGTCACTGAGAAGAGCCTGGCTCCTTCCTTCTGACACTCACTCTTTACAAATTTATAAACATTAATGAGGTCACTCCTCAGTCTCCTCTTCTCCAAGCTAAAGAGACCCAGCTCCCCCAGCTGCTCCTCGTAAGGGAGATGCTCCACTCCCTCCAGGCATCTTTGTGGCCCTGCGCTGGACTGATTCAAGCAA